AATTAAAAAATCAATTCAATAACTTGCTTTTCTGACTGCTTGCAAATAGGGACACATATACAAAAGTTGAAAATCAGGACAAAGTATTTTTCAACAGAAAAATAAGAACAACAAATTCTGCATTATATATAAAAATTGCAGAATGCTACTTCATTTTAAGTAAACCCGAATAAAATTACAAAGGTTTGCTTTGGAAATGTTATTAATAACACTTTTTTAAAAAAACAAACGCACACTATAATGAATGATGATTACTCTTATGCAAGTTAAAATAAAATAAAAAATTATGTTTGCTTACAGAAAAAAAGTTACACACTTAATTTCACTCTTTACTCAAATTTTTCAGAAAAAAAAAGAAGAAGAAATATGAGTTTATACCCATTTATTTATTTATTTTTTAAAGATACACTATCATTGAAAACAATATATTTTATTACAAAACAATACATATTTGTGCCAGTTGAAACAACATTCATTCACAATGCAGTACATGAATAATACAATATGGAAACATCAGCAAAATAGATATTAATGTATAAGTATTCTTCTTTACATGCTGATTACCATTTATAATAAAAGTAAAAATATTCATCAACATAAATAAACTCAAAATAAGCAACATAGTTTAATTATATAGAAGGGGGGGAAATGTATATTTAAGTAATAGAAACTGGAATAAAATTTGATGCCTTATTTGATTCTCAAGTTTAGATGTGCATATAACACACAAGTTGAAAGAAAAATGATTTTAGGAAACATTTAGAAATTTGATAATAGTAAACTACTGAACCAATTATTGATGATATTTATATTAAACAATAGAAAACAAAACAAACATTTATATTTAAAGCAGGTAATTTTGAATTATTACAATTCTTTTTCTCAATACTATTAAAATGATTTATTGGTTAGCATAAATGATTATATCTAATCTTCGTTTATTTCAACTTATATATATATAAATAAAATCTTTTACATCATTTTTATGGTATCACAATTTTATCTAGCAATTATAATTTTTTTTATCAAATAAGATTTAAACATCTTTTTTGAATTTTTAATGAACTTTTAACACATTATTATATCAATAATATTTAATTCTCCATATCAATGAATAATAAAAAAGATAAAGAAATCTTTACTTTCAATGCATAGATTAAAAGCAAATTAGCTTTTCTCGAAGTAACACTTTTAATTATAAGAAAAAAATCTAAGGTGTTATACTAGCATAACTACAAGGCATTTTCAAAAAGCTACAATATCTTAGGAAATTAAAACAGAAAATATTAGGTCACATTATTAAATTTAGTTTATATAAAATTACACACATGTATTGATATGTAATTATTTCTTAAACAATACAATTTTAAAAATAAGAAGCATTTTTATTAAAATATCCCTACATCATATTACGGAGCAATTAGAGTAATATATATGAAAAATTTACAGATGCGCACAATAGAACAGTGGTTAGATATCCAAATCACAAAGTTGGTTCTCTTCCTAAAAAGCTCAGCTTCTTAAAAGAGAATTTCTTCAGGACTTAAAAGTTCTAAGCATTTTGATCATAAGGTGGGGCGATCCTATTAAAAATTAAACAAAAATTAATATTAAACTAGACCTACTCTTAGATGTATAAGATTGAATTAAAATAGAATTAAATGTAAATTTAATTATATAGGTCAAATAAAGTAATTTAGTCTATTTAAGGTAGCTTGGAACTGCTAACAGAAATTTTGTGCATTTATTAATAAGAAGAATAAAAGCAAGAAAATCCAATAAAGAAATCATTTTGAAAATAATAATAATAATAACAATTGCTTTATCTTTCAAGAATAAATATTTTTTTCATTGCCAAGTTAAATCAATAAATTTAAGAATAGGAGAAGTGTTACATTTGTGTTAATGAAAAATTATTTCAACTCTAAATAACATTAACTGATGAATAAGTTCAGAATTAACAATGTTTAGTTATGAGTAACATAAGGTTAAGATTTTTTAAAATGTGCTAATAATGATGACAAAAAGATATAAATAAAGATAATAAATAAATTAATTTTAAAAAAAAACAGAGTTAAAAACATTGAGTTTACATGCTGTCAAAACAATAGGCAACCAAAATATTGAAGTAAAAGATTTAAAAAGGGAATGAAACCTTAAAAAAAAAAAAAAGGAATAAAACTTAATTATCATTTGGTCAATATTGAAATAATATTCAAAAAAAAGTAAAATAATTGTGCTTTAATTAATTTGGTTATTTTAAAATTTGACAAAAAGAAAAAAAAAAAAAACTAGATCATTAATCTTTAAATGTTAAATATAAATTTCACACTAACACTTTTAATAAAAAAAGTATGTTAAAACATTAGCTTTTAAATTCCGCAGTACAGTAAGATCTTGACTATTCAGCCTAATAAGAAACCATGAAACGGACAGTCTTCAAAACTCGAGAGAGGTAAAGTTGAAGAAGAAAAAAGGAATGTAAGGAATTAAATATGGATGTCAGTCACAGTCATAACTTTTGACAATTGTATAGTTTATTAATAAATGTTAAGTATTTTTGCAATACTCATTTTTACATAAATTTTTTTTAAAAAAAGGTAAAAACATTGAGTATTTGTTTTAAAAAAGATGTTATTTTCCTCACTTTGGATAACATTATTTTACATAGTTTGCATATAATGTAAATGTTGAAAGCTAATTTTAAATTATTTATTTCATTAGATATATAGTTTGCAATCATAGATTTTGATAGTGAAAAAAAATCAACCTGTAATGATGTAACAGAAGCAGGCTTTTATAGGAAGAAAAACCAATATTGCAATAATGGCATTTTCAATAAACACTAATTCAACAGTATTATTAGTTAAAGTTTGCAAAATTAAATTTTAACTAATACTATTTGAAAGAGTCAATCACAATTTCAAGTCAATTTTTATAACAAGAAAAATAGTTTTTATTTAAATAATTTATTCAAGAACAGAGAAAAAAAATGCAATAAATTATTAAAGGTGCAATTCCTTAGAGAAATTCAAATGTCACATTTAACAGATAAACCAAATGAAAACCTTTCTACAGACAGTAGCAATAACTAACATAAATAAAAAATGGCTGAGGAAAAAATAAAAAAAGGAAATACAGTCGGCACTAGATATATAAACCCCTGTGGTCCAAGCGAAAACAGACGTTATAATGTGAGGTCACCATACTTATATTTTCATAAACAGGACTTATTTTAGCAAAAAACATGTTATACTTTAAATAGAATTATGAAAATAAGAAATACTAATTTTTTTTACGTCATTTAAGTACAAGTATTATAATATATTATATAAAAGATTTTAAAAAAATCGTTCACATGACATCTTTGCACATAAAATTTAGTTAGTTATTTAATGCTTTTTTTAAAAATGTTAAGTAATGAAAACTATGCTACAAAATTGGAACTTCATTTGTTTACCTTTAGAAAAACATAATAATTGTAAACTAAGTACTTTTCGGGATCTTGAGTAATTTAACAATTTATGATTCTGATGTTATTCTTCAAATTCTTTTATCCACCTTCTTTAAAAAATTTTATTTCCGTTTTAAGTTTAATTTCCCCGCTATATTATGTATTGGTTTTGACAGCCACTTCAGTTCAATAACATACGTTCAGAAAATTAAGCATAAGTAAAATCCAGAAGAATGTGAATACCATGTGCTTTAACTCCAAAATAAACCAGCTTTTACAACATTTCACACAAAGAGTGAATAAAAGTTTCAAACATGGAGGAAAGAGGATAGGCAGGTAGGTAATACAATTTTCAAATATGATAAATGAATATATTGAACGCTTTGAAATTTTGAAAGGAACAGTTTTTTTTTGGAAACATCTATTTCCAAATGGCGGTGCAATATACACTTCAAATTCTTAATGATGGTAAGTAATTGTTACTTCACAATCTTCCTGAGAATAGATTATGCCCAGGACATCATACATTAAGATAAGGTGATCCTGTCACCCTCTCTTCATCCACGATGTTTGATGTTTATTGGGAGGTAGAGGTTAGACTAGTTTTCTCTAGACTTTTCTTATTGACTTTGTAGTGAATGAAGAAATATTAGTCTCAAAAATGTCATAACACTGCAGTGATTTTATTAGAAAGAAAAAAAATGAAACAAAATTTTGGTCGCTATACTGGAACGAACAGTTCAGTTCAGACACTCTAATGGGTGCTAAAATAACATTGCGCCTACGGAACAGCAATTGAGACTTCATGCTGCAGTCATTGTAATATAAGGGAACACAATTGAAGATCGTAGACTGTATCTTAATTCCAAGTTTAATATGGTTCATAGCTATAAGCAAGTTTTGATAGCAGAAAAATCACTAAGTCAACAAATCTTTAAAAAAAAAAAAAAAAAAAAAAAAAAANTTCAGTATCTCAAAAAAAAAAAAAAAAAAAAAAAAAAAACTTTTTTTTTTTCAAATTGTATAATTTTTTGTAAAACAATATTTTATGAAATATTGTTAATATACAAAAAGTGAGACTCTCAAACAGTATCTTTGATATTTTTAAGTTTTCGCTATTAAAAAAATTCCCAACATTTAACCATTATAAGATAAATATGTGTATAAGAAACTTTACCGGTAGGGAATAATAGTTTAAGAAATCTAAAAGATCCTTCAACTTATGAGGAATTTATTGCAATTGGTTGATTATATTGTTTTATGAGAGGCTTGGAAATCAAAAACAATATACATTTGAAGTTACAGTTTTAGAAGACTGAACTAAACAGAAAAAATTAAATAAAGACTGATAAATAAAAAGCATAATGTCAGTAATGATTACTTTAAAAGTTTATTGTCTTTTCCAGACATACACTGCACATATAATCCCCCCACCGAAAAAAAAAAGAACTTTTCTTTTAAAAAGGCAACTTTTCAAAGCAGTAACTAATTTTTAGAAACAGCTAAAAACAAAACATCACATAAAGAAACACACAGAGACACTTGATGAAAGGGAAAATTTTTAATTTTAAAATTATAATACTCGCTATTTGTTAAATGTGTAATAATATAACAATAGGAAAGATATTTAGGCAACATTATACTATACTTAAGCAATGATATAAACAATGGAAAAAGTAAAAACTACACAGTTGCCTGTACAGCAAAAATAAAATAATAAATTATGTCCAGTGTCCACTAATGTTGTGAAAAATATTTATGCACTTTCTTATTCAACAAAACTGATTGAAGCACAAATTTTACTTCTATTTTTAAAAAAGTATTTGGAAAACTATTTTATGTCATCTAGTTTTTTCATATAAAAAAGAAAATATTGGAGACATGACAGTTCTGCTGCCCAGGTAGTTGTTGAACATTGTCACTTGATGGAATTTTTAATTGCATAGAAAAAAAACTATGAAATTCATTACTTCAAAAGGAATGTCGTTAAATTGTTAAGTGATTTTTAACAATTGATAACATATCATTAAAATTGGAAATGTTTTAAGCTATTAGTGCACCTATTGATTTGTATTCCAAAACCAATAATGAAAAAGTACACAACTAAAAAGGGCATCTAAATAAAATATGGAAACTTCAAAATGTCATATAAAATCTTAAAGTAGAATTGCATATTTAAAAAATAAAACTAATTTATAAATTATTCACTGATAATCAGACAAAAAAAAACAATAATGCAAAAATAGTGATAATAAATTTCAGCACTTTAAATGCTGCTTTTAAAGAAATGAATCAGGCAACATTTTCATTTACAAAATTGCGGAATATTACATCAAAAAAACTTCCACCAGTTTAAAATACAAGGCAGTTATTTAGCGTTGTAAAACATTTGCCAGATCATGAAAAACTTAAAACAATCAAATCAGCAAAAAAGCTCACTAGTTTGTCTAAAATCAAGACATGAACATTCAATAAACAAAAGACTTGACCAGATTTAATAATTGACTAAGATAAATAACCTTAATCAAGATATTTAAATAAAAATGACTGACAAAGAAATGCTAGTGTAATTGAAAAAATAATAAAATAAATGCAGGGCAAAAAAGTTGAATTAGTATGATAATGATGTAATAAATTTTTGAACAATGATCATCATGTACTTTTTTGACGCTTGGTTTGAACAGTTTGCGAAGCTGGTTGCATGTGCTCTTCTAACTCATGTTTACGAAGAACGCTTTTAACAGTAAATTTTTTATTGCAAACCTTGCAACTGTGACTTTTGTCACCAATATGCAAATGTAAATGCTGCCTTAAACTTCCTTTGTGTAAAAATGCTTTTTTGCATATGTGACATGTATAAGACTCTTTATTTTCATGAGTTAAAACATGCTCTTTCAATAGGTTAATGTTTTTGAATTCTGCTGAGCATGTATGGCATTTGTAAGTTTGTGCAACTTGCGAAAGCTTGTGCGACTGAGGTTTATTAGATGGATTGATGTTAACTGCTCTATTCGATTCATTGCCTGGAGGTCCATTAGTTTTATTGACAGCTGAAAGTTTTTTAATTTGGTTGAGAGGATTTTTATCAGATTGGTTTACTGGCAATTTATGTGATTTGTGGCCAGGTGGTTTAACAGTTTGATTGACTGATGGTTTAATAGTTTGGTTGCCAGCAGGCTTATTAGTTTGGCTGCCAGCGGGCTTATTAGTTTGGTTGCCAGAGGGCTTATTAGTTTGGTTGCCAGGTGGTTTATTAGATTGGTTTGCTGAAAGTTTATTAGATTGGTTATTTTGCACTGGAGTATTTTCAGCAGATTTACTTGGAGTACTTACCAGTCTGAAACTATTTGACAGTTTTGCAGATTTTTTATTCTTATTGCTCTCATCATCTGAATCATCACTTATAATCTCCCAAACTTCTGGAGATTTAGAGCGTTGTGATGCAGTTCTTTTGAGAGGTTCTTTAAGAGAAACTGTTCTGGAAATTACAGGAGTAGAACTGTGAGGAGGAGGATGCTTGGTTGGAGTTTTCTTCTCTAGCTCCAATAAACCAGCTTTAAAAACTTCTTCATCAGCATGAGTTACTAGGTGGTTTGCAAGATCACTATCAGAAGAAAATTCTTCATCACATATGCAGCATGATTCAGTGCTGTAAGGTATGGGAGAAGATTCTTCGGCAGAGTAAGCCATATTATTAAATAATCCACCAAACGTCATTGAAGATGGAAGAAGCACAGATTTCATCCTATTAGCAACACCCCTATAAGAAAGTAAAATAGTCTAAGCACGTAAGGTAGTTTAAATGATTATTTGAAATTAGCATTTGCATTGGCACAAAAGCTTACCTTAAACAATCAACTTAAGCATCTCTAAAAAATTCAAAAGTTAGGTGTTCTCCGACCACATTACTTTACATCAAGCATTGAACATTAAATCTAATTTTATAGCTTCCAATTGTAAAGAGTGTTTCATATAAAAAAAATTCACTATGTTAAAGTAATTGTACACTTTTGTGTTGAGAAACTTTTCAAATTAATCAAGTAAATACTGAACAAATTATTCCAATACTCTAGGCATGTCAAAATAAAGCAATTACTCACATTTTTCAATAAAGATTTTGTCACAGGACAGTTCAGAAATGAGTGAAAAACTTAAAAAAATTCTAAATCCACATGCCAGTCAAGAGCTTAAAGCTACATTTTCATGACTATGGGTTTTTTTCCCGTGTGGAAATGTGTAGCACAGTGTAAAAAAAAAAAAAAAAAAAAAAAAAAAAAAAAAAAAAAAAAAAAAAAAATTCAGATAGAGAAACTTTATACTTAACTGCAAAATTTAAAGGCATTTTCTTCTTCAACCGATACCAAAATGGCTCATAAATAAATAGGCCATTGATATTTAGCACATGCAAATCGCCTACACTAGTTAAGCCATGCTAAAATGTATCAAAATTCCAAAGGATTACTTAATTAAGGTTCTGGTTAAAATTTTTTTAAACTAATTATTAGTCCTTTTTCGTAAAAAAAATTTAATAAAAATCTCTGAATGGCACCAATAAGATTTTTTCTCTTTCTATTTTGGTTCATTTCAAACCGAATGAATCATTCAAGTTACAGATTGTTTACTATAAACTTTACTGTTAGTATTTTTTTAAATTTTTTTATAAATTTGAAAAGGTTAAAACCAGAACTGTCTGGAATCTTTCATCCCCAAAGAATAGATTTCATCATTTTTAACAGCATAAACATAGGCGCTTTTGAACACTTGTTGCCACACACACAGCTAGTTGGAATTTCTAAAAATGCATCAATCATAAGGTATAATTCTAGCATCATATATATAAGAGTTATGTATTTATATTGAAATTAATTAACAGCAGCACATATTAAGCGTTTGGTTGATTATATATANTTTTAGATATATATATATATATATAAATATATATACATAGTTTTCTTTTGTTTAAAATTTAGTCTGGAATTTTTTTTTTTTTTAATGACACAAGAAACAAAAAGTATGTTTAATTATTTTATTAATTAAGTTACTTGCATTCAACAAATATTTAAGTAAGAAAATGGAAAAAGACAGTTCTTAAAAAATATTTTTATTTAAAATTAATTACATTTTAACATTACTTATTTAACTAATGATTCTAGCTAAAGATTTATCTTTTTATTAGTAATGCTTAATATCTATCATTTTCATTTATTTATGCTAAAAACTTTATAAGAAAACTGGAAGAAAAAAAATTTATACTCTTTAAAACTAATGGATTGATTGAAATATTTTATATAAAAACATTGAACTGACTAAGTCCCCCATCCCACAAATCTAACTTTAAAACATCATTTCATAAATTAAACTTTATTATTTTTTTAATAAACATTAGAGCGAACAGATATTTGCACTTACTTGCTAACAAATGATTTTCAATGACTTATTAACTTATAATGATTCACAGTTACTTATTTACTTAGATCTAATTAACCTATGCTGGCAAAATATATAAACATAAAAACATTTTAACTGTTTTACACAACTCTTTACATAGCTTTAATAAATCTAGTGATGGGATAACAGTGTTTTGAGCTTTTTTAGAAAGGCGGCTTGCCCTTTGATCCCTATAAATGCGTCCACCCCCCGTTTTTTAAATAAAAATAATCCATCATCTCTTAATAACACCGCCTTTTTATTTAATTTTTTTTAGTAAAACGTTGCTTTTTTAAACCACCTAATTTAATGAAATGTCGATTTCTGATTTATTAAGTTATTGATAGTTATTATCCTTTATTTTAATAAGATTTTTTTATGTTGTCTAGTTATATAGTTAAAAATTTGCATAATATTCTGTCCCAGAGATATTTATATCTTTTATTTAGGGGTATATTAAAGATTATTTTAGTGTTTTTAAATATTACCATTTTTTTTAAATAAATATATCTTATTAAAAAAAAATTTTATACAGGGATTGTCTTTTAATTATTAATTATTCTTTAATTATTCTTAAAAAGTTTCAAAATTTTCTGTTATTTTGATGAGTGAGAATTACTTTGTGAAATATACACACAAAATAGTAGAGGGTAATTTAAAAGTTGAGGATCAAATTCAGTTATGACATAATTTTATACATTTTGATAAATTTTAACAGTGGTGAGTGCCCTTTTCTGTGAGGAAGCACTCCTCCCTTTTTTTATTTCTAGGGTGAACTCTGGGGATAACAATCATTAAAAGCTGGGTCTTTAAAAAAGTTTGATTTCTCATTAAAAAAAAAAACTATTTCAAAATTTAATTATGCTGTAAATTTAATGTACAAATGATGTAAGACACATAATGCACATATCTTTAATTTGTACTTTAAAAGGGTTGTGTTTTGCAAGCAGTTTCTTGTGTTTTGCAAATACAAAAAACTGAATTTATCTTTTTATGAAGAAATAAGAGTTGTATGGAAATGCTCAATTATGATTTTAGAAGCTGTCACAAGCAACATTGTTTTTCTTTGGAGATTTTAACCTTTCCAATTTGAAGGGATTATACCAAAATATAAATTATTGGAAGTAAAAGAAACCATACAAGCAAATAATACTTTTAGGGGGAAGAGTTTCAGATACAGTTATATTATTATTATTAGAAATAAAATTTAACAGCTTGCATAGAATTTCTTTGACACTGTCTCATGCATAATTTTTTCATGGAATAACATGATATTGGATTGTCATGTTATTGCAAGCAACATGTCAAACATTGATACCGATTTTAATACATTTTTTGTTAATTAGACAAAATTGTAATCTTGAAGCTCACATAAATTTGGCAGCTTCATAGGTCTTTTTGTACCATTTTGACAAACAAACATAATATAACGACAAAAAATGATCAATGAGAATTATGGATAATAGTTAAATCTTAAATACCAGAAAAATATTGAACGATTATCAAAATGTGTAGGACATCCATGTATATTCATCTGTATAAGACATAATACTAAATTAATTTTAATTGACCAAGAAAAAATTATTATTACTTTCGGAAAAAACTGACATTGAACTAAATATAAAGATATTTGTCCCCCCCCTTATTATATTATGTCATTTGGATGATAAAATATTTCCGGGAAAAAATTAATAAAGAATTAACTACAAAATGATGAGCTGCACAAATTGCTATTTTCAAAATTTTAAACCTTGATAAAAATTTACAGGGAAAAAAAAAAATAAATTAAAAAAAATAAATAAAAATAACAGAAGAATTTAAAAAAGTAGGTAAATGGGGTCTTACCGTGTAGGAGAAATACTTAAAGCAGTCTGCCTAGCTCTATAACCACCCAAATTTTTCTGTAATACGACAATTTTTAAGAAAAGTAATAAAAACAACAGTATCACTTAAAAGTCTTTCGTGAAAACCTCGCTTTGTGTGCTAATTATTTTGCATATTATGCTATTTCAGCTACCAAAATTAGAAAATTTAGTTTAGATTAAAAGTATGATCAATAAAAAATTTAATCAAGGACAAAACAAAGTCTTTCAACTAGAGAAATCATTCAAAAAAGGTAAACTGTATAATCTTCATCAATTAGCTTATAAATTTTACATATTTGTCTGTTTTAAATTAAACTGATTATCTCTTATAACACTGATTATCTCTTATACTTATAGTTTAAAAAAAAGAAGAAGAAATTTTTACATGAGTTATTTTCTCTCACTAAACAAGATCTCAAAACTCCCTAATCATACCACTAAGCATAATGCTGTTATAACAATCAAAATCAACTTATGGCTTTCTCATGCATTCGTAAAAAATAGCTAAACACTGAACAGTGATTTCTAAGAGTGAGTTTAGTATTTCCCCAGAACACAGTTTATTTGGTTAAAAATTTTCTCCAAAACTATATCGCTTTTTCCTTTCAGTTAAAAATATTGTTAGAAAATTAAATTCATATATTGATAGAAATTTTTAATAATTTTTTCTTTAATAGAAAAAAATTCATTTGATTTCACAAATTTTTTTAATAAGCTAACATATGTGTTAAAACAGGGTGCGTAGCCAAATCTTTGAATCAAAAATAAGCACTTTTTAAAAACTTTTCAAGCACTTTACAAAAATTTTCAAGCACTCAAAAAATTCATATTCTATCAATGATATTATTGAAAAACAAAAACTTTTTATGAACAGTTTTAGCGTTAAAAAAAAAAAAAAAGAAAGAAACGGGCGTAAATCAAAACAATCAGTACTTTCCCACATCACCAAGTGAATTCAACTTGACCCTGAACTCAGAACAAAAGTACCCTTACCCCCTACGTCAAAAAAAGTGTTAGAAGTAAAATAAAATAAACAAGAACAAAAATAAATTAAATTAAAAATAAAAACATTTCATAAGGATCTGATATTCTCTATCCGAATTGGAGCACTCGGGTTTCGGTTTCAAGTGGGCGCATGCGCAAGTCATAACATGGGTACGACATGAAGTCCGCGTCAATAATTGCGTAGCAAACTCCCCATTTTTCGTGAAATGCATGGGATCCACCAGATATCACTGAAGGAAAGAAAAAAAATTATTCGGAAAAAAAGCACTTTTTAAAAACGCCAGCTGAAAAAAGCACCTTTAAAAGCTTTTAAAAACGAAATCCCCAAAAAAGCACCTTTAAGTACTTTTTACAAATGCTACGCACCCTGTAAAAATAATAGAAATCAAAATTCAAACAAATAATTAAACAAATTGACTAATACAGTTTTTTTTACAGATAAAAATTTTGTTATGTTACACATAAAATAAGAAAATCTTGCTTTGTCAATAATGCTAAATCCCACAGAAGTCAGGCAGTTTCACTGAATAAAGGACATTTCCACAAAAGAGAATTTGATTCGATAAAATTAAAATAAACCAACAGTTCTTATGACTAAGTACTGCAACAAATGTAGTTTTTTGATGTAATTACTTGTAATATGCAAAATATAATTTAAGTTTGGTACACTTTAAATAAATTCTAAATAAAGACGTTTAAGTGCTACTGTATAAAATAAAAAGGAATTACAAATCATCATCATGAGGACAAATAATTAACTTAAAAAATGAACAAATTCAACACAGGCAGAAAAATATAAAATTTTTTTGAATTTCATTAGCTCCATTATATGATAAATTAGATCGATAGGTACTACATTGTCTGGGAAGTAAAGACGTCATGTCCGCAGTGTCGACCACAGTGCCACAATCATGTAGCTAACCACAAAATTATGGAACCTTAACCTTCATGACCTCCCAGGCCCACAATGGGCTGTTGAGATAATGCTTTACTGATAAAATACAATTACTATACTAACTAGAAGAATATTAAAGCTTAATTAAAGGGATACATTTACTAACTACTGTGTAATATTACATACTTTACCTGCCCTACTACAGGGATGAGATTAGCCAAAACGCAAAAAAGCTGAATTTCCACGATAGCAAATTTTACGCAACAGCAACCCTTTAATAATAAATTCCAGACAGTTTAAGGTAATAAATAATGTGTTGACATACAATTGTGTACTGATCTATTATTATAAAAACGATTACATAACATTTAGTGAAGAAAAAAAATTACAAATTGAAAATATAAAGCTGGAAATTATATTTTTCCTCAGTTCACATAAGAGACAATTACTACTTGAAAAACTACCTGGTTTAGCAAATTAAAACTACTGAGAATATATATTAATATTTCATTTCTTTTAATAAATACTGTTATGTGATTTATAGCAAATATATCAGTAATATTACTTTTTAAATTATATTGGGGAAAAAAAACTTTAACAATGGACCGAATCATTATGTTCATATTATAGTCTAATCTAACTACAGCCGAAATGATAAATTACATGACAATCAGCAACTGCTTAGATAATTGTTTTTTTATTTGATAAGAATTTTGCATTTTATAGCATAAATAATGTTCATATTATAGTCTAATCATTATCATTATGTTCATCATCATATATCATTATGTTCATATTATAGTCTAATCTAACTACAGCCGAAATGAAAAATTACATGACAATCAGCAACTGCTTAGATAATTGTTTTTTTTATTTGATAAGAATTTTGCATTTTATAGCATAAATAACAGCAATTATAAATAAAATTTTGATGAGTTAATTAACTCTTTTTCCCCCCAAATTTTTTTTTTAATTCAATCCCTTTCTAAGTGATTGCTTTTGTTTGCTATATCTTTTATGTTTGCTATATTTAGTCGTTAGTCCATCTTCAAACATCTTGTGACAAGTCCTATTTTTTCTTCTTTGCAAGCACAGAATGTAAGTTCTGAATATATTCCCTTCCAGTTTCTCTGATGTTGTAACACTTATATATACTAATAATCTTTGTTAGAAAAACAGTCACCTTTATAGTAACTAATTTAAAAAAAAAATTACTTCATACAAGAATCGCGATAATTTGATATTAAAATCGTGTGAATAAGAATCAAGATATTAGCAGATTCCAGGCTTGGGACCTCTTAAAAGGCTTGTCAAAAGCAGCGTCGTTTTAACTATGAAAATCGGATCTATCTGGAGAGCGGGTAAAAAATTCGAAAAATCTTATCTGCTGCGCGTAAAAGGGGAGATAATAGGTAAAATAAGTAAAAATGAGAAATGATTGGTAGCTATGTAGTTTGAATTTTCTGTTTCTCTTTGAAAATCGGTGAATTTTCTGAAAAAGCGGAATACTTAAAAAAAAATGAAATTTTTAGAAAATCTGAATTTTTGATAAAAAAGCTGAAAAGAAAGAGATAAAAGTGAAAAAAGCGGAAATCCGCTAAAAAGCGGAAAAATCTCATCCCTGCTACTATAAATACCAGTTTGCTTTGGCAGTAGGTTCATCTATCTACTCTATCACTGACAAGAAATAAATAAAAATTGAAAGATTGATTTGTAATAGTTCCAAAATGACAGTAGACATTGAAACTATTTCAAATCTTATCTTTTAAATTGCAGAATAAATTTTTTAAAATTATGTTCCTTTTTTGAAACTTTTTTTAAATATTTAATTTTTCTGCTTGTTGCAGTTTATCATTAATTAAAAATACTTAGACTTTATGTTGATACAGTGTACCCTTTTGTTTTCAATAAGTAGAGCAATATAAATTATGAAAAAAAAATGTGGCAAAAGTTTAAAATTATACGGATGACCAACAACAAGGCCAGCGTACGACCCACCATTTATGCCCCACAAAAAGCATCTATCAGGAGTATAATATAATCCTCTCCGGAGAGGAATCGAATTCCAGTTTATCACATGACAGACGGGGATACTCACCACCTAAACTAAATTCTTTTCTTGCTTTAAACACAATTTTTTCATCTTCTATGAATATAAGGCAAAAGTCTGTGTGTTGTATTGACTTGAGAATGGGGAGTACTGATTTGGCTCTTTTTTCCACATTTTGACAATTTTAACAGGGTGACTTGAAAAGAATTACCATTTTCTGACACTATGTAGTTCAGACATATTAAAAACATGAAATTCCATCAAAAATCATTTTTTTTCATCGTGTGATCATGGCACATGCTGTTATAGAAACACCATCATTGCAAAATTTTAAAAAAAATACAAGCACATGAAATCTTGAAGAAAAATACATAATTAAAGCTTGCTACGTTATCCAAAATTAAAGAAATCAGTGGCCTTTTGTTATGGACACTCCTACAAAACTTACATCTCTAAATATGGACACATTTTTAATTCCCCATGAATCTTCTGTTCATAAATATTCATGTACATTCTCTGCAAAGATTTGTGCCCTGAAACAGTATTTTTCGTAACCTGACACAATTTTTTTTCTAACTTTGAAAAAAAAAAAAAAAAAAAAACTATTTCTGCTTCGAATTCTAAATGGTGTAAACTAATTTATTCTTCATTGGATATCTAACTGCAATTTGCCCCTGCCTTTAAAATTTTAGGAAATTTAGCTTGATGAAAAATAACAGTGATTTTATTTATTTAGTGATTTCCTTGTAATAATTAAAAAATAATCTTTGAAACATTTTAGTTAGAAATATCAATTATTTTAGCTATGTTATTATTTTTAAATAATAGCAGGGGTCTGTCCGGACATTTTGTAAAAGGTCCGTTTCTGTAAAATTGTGAAAAAATTACTCGTAATTTGTGAATATAAAATAAACATTAAGTCACATTCTTTAAACCAGGGTCCGCTTTTGTGAATTTGTGCAAATAGGGTCCGTTATTGCAAAAAAAACTTTTTCAAGGAGTTTTAAATTGTAAAGACATACAAGATTATGCTCAACACTGTAAAATTATAATTAAAAAAAATTAATTTTAAAAAATAAGCAGCAATTGCAGCTACTATATTAGCGATGCAACATATAAATATTTGGTATTTAGACTATACTGCTCAACGCAAAATATTCATTTCGGACGAATAAAGGAAGAAGCGTCTGCTGAAGACAAAATTTAGTTAGTTTACACCTGTCTCCCCCCCCCCTTTCCTGGGAAGGGTTTATTCCAATAACGAAACAATAATGAAGATAAACAAATTTGTGAATAGTAAGAGCTGCCTAATTAAAAACTTCATTCGCTTAAAAATTAAACAAATAGAAAATAACAGTCACCAGGTTTCAAGCTCTTCAAAACTAAAGGCCTATTTTCATATTTGCCATACATGAATGAGAAGAAACAAAAGTGATTTGAAATAAAAAAAAACTTAAAGTTACTAACCAAAAATGGAAATATAAAGGTGAGAAACATAACTAGTAGCGAAAGAACAGAACAAGAAAAATCTCAGTGGCTGAGAGGGCAGTGGCTAGTATGGTAATGATATGGATAGTATAACAATAACATTTTTACTTAGTTACATAGGATAATCATGGATAAGTAGCTAAAACAATTCTTAGAATTTAAAAAGAGAGCATTATTGCATGATAAAACAGCCTTAAGACAAATTTGTTTGGTAAACAGGAAAATTGTTGCAAGCATCTAGTCTTCATACTTAATTACCAAACAAATAAATAAGTTTATTCAGATTTGAACATAACTTAATTGCCCCACTTACACTTTGAAATTACAACTTCATCAGCTATAGATCTATTTTTAAAAAAATTATCTTATTGAAAAGCTGATTAACTTTAAAAAAAAAAAAATCGATTGTCTTAATTACATAATGGGCATAATAATGTACACTTTAAAACAAAGATAAATAAATTAGATTTATATGCATAGAGAAAAAAGGATAATATGTGTAGCTTTCATTCATACAGTAGAATTTGAGCTGCGATGGCTCAGGGGCATGGGTGCAAGTTGGAAAAAAGGCCAAGACTGAAAATTTTTTGACTGTAATACCTATCATATACAATACCCCCTCGACATATGCAAACTATCTAAGAAAGCTTTACCATAATACATCAAGATTAACTACTGTACAAAAAATATTTATTCATCTGTCTTTTGATAAAATAACAACAGGACAGAAGAAAGTAGACCAATAACGTAGACCTAAAAAATATTTTTACGGACAGAAAAAAAAAATTCAGATTTCTGTCTTCGAGTCAGTTTTGTTTCCGTCTTACTTCCGTCCGCGGACATTTTCGAAAGACGGAAATCCGTCCTAGGGACGGAAGACTTGCACCCATGCTCAGGGGATAAAGCAGTCACCTTTCAATGAGGTGAATCGGGTTCGAAACTGGCGATGGCTGTTTGATACGAATCCGCATCCAGCTTGCACCGACCACAGTGCTGACATGAAATATCCTCAATGGTAGACGGATCATGCGTTAGAGTATCTTTGCCGTCAGGCTAACCGTGGGAGGTTCTAGGTCTTCTTTCCATGTAACACAAACATTAGTTAGTTCCCTCAAAAAGTCCTCCACAAAGGAAAAATTTCTTCCAATACTTGATCCAGGAGTTCCCTTGTCTTCTGGATTGGGTTCAAAGTTACAAGGCCTCAGAGTTGAGCATTAGAAGTCGTAAACCCAAAAATTGGGTCGGCTATTCAACAACGGTAATAAAATAAAAAATACAGAAAACTTTTGTTATATAATACATATACATTAAGAGAAATTGCTCTTCTTCTATGATGTCTGAAAAAACAAACAGAACGTGACCTCAAAAACTCTTTCAGGTTGCTCAAAGAACGCTTTACCCAACCAACGTTATACCCATGGAGTTGGTCCCCTTCTGTTATAAGTCTTTCATGAGCTACTGCTCAGAAATTGCCAACACTTGGCGATTACTCTGCAAATCACAAAACAGAAATCCTCCCATGAGTTGATGCAACCTTCTAGCAAGTTTAACACAGCATTTCTAACAATGAACAACACGGTGGAGATATAGTACATGAATCATGAGGTACTTAGATTGACATTAAACCAAAGCACCTAGCTTGAACAGAAATTTTGTTTACAATATATATAATGCACACAAAACTGAACTGTAAATAAATAAAAAATTGAAGAGTAATCATCATTCATTAGGTTCTTGAAGATTTTTTTCATTTTAAATTTGAAATAATGCATAAGAACATATACCATACGTTAAGCACAGAACTATTATTACCTGTCAAATATGACACCCTTTACCTTTTCAATAATAAAATTAAATATCAGCAAATCACCTAACTCGTAGGAGATCTTTTGCATGTTTAATGTCAAAACATAAGTCAAAGTTCATAGATAACATCGAAAACGTTATTTACAATAGTAAGCCTTACCTGTTCTAAAACCTCCAAATACTCTTGCACAAAATTTTGGACGAACTCCACAAATAATGGTGGAATATTCAGATCTTTATTAGATGTCATCAGTTGCAATACTAATATTAAAAGGAGGAATGTCAGTTTATAACATATAATGCATCTTAAGCATCAACAACATTATAATTCCAATTCCAAAATACCGTTGTTTTTTTTTATTTCTTCATTTTTTTTATATTTTTTTGTGGCAGTCACAGTTAAATTTTGCGAACCCTGATCAGATGTTTGATAGTGTGTTTCAGCTCCGGTGGATTTTATAAATCAAAGATTGGAACACTAAGCGCTTAATTTTAATAATGTTATGCAATTTATATACAAAATACTTCTCTCAAACAAAAAAGCAATCAGATCATAAGAGACTAGTTCTAACTAAGTCAGCCGACTTTATTTCTGAAAACCAACCAGGCAAACTTTCCAAACCGTATCTGCGGTACCATATCTCTAGCATCAGAATTACATCGCGTATACTGGAGCAAACAAACTGTATGTGGTTCATATACGCTATCGTACGTCAATGCGATTCATGCATACCAAATCTTAATAAGTAATTTATAAGGTACAAAATCACACGCAAGCTTGTTGTGTAATCGCATGCTGTGTGAATGCTCCCAAATTCCTCACATCACCGCTTTTCGTAACAGCAATTTTTTTCCATGGAGCTAGGAGTAACTACTCCTAGCTCCATGTTTTTTTCCTTCTTTCCTTCCCCCCTTTTTTTTGCCTACACAATCATTTTGCCGAAATTTAAAGCTGTTAAGTGGCGTTTGGTATAGGACAGTGTTTTTCCCAAAGTGTGGTGCGCGTACCCCAAAGGGTATGGGAACAGTTTACCGAGGGTACGCGTTTTTATGCGAAATATCTTGCAACAAACGAAAATTTCAAAACATTTTATTTAAAAGCAAAGCTAGCCATGAAAATTTACGATTACATAATTTTCTATTGGCTATTTTTTGCAGAGTTAACAGTTAATAATTAGTGGCTTCAACAGCCAGTTGTGATTTTTAACTTTTGTGCAATTTTTTATAGTAAAATTTTTTATTTTTTTATTAGTGGTACACAGCGTTACGAAAAATTTAGAAAGGGTAGACAACAGTTATTAGTTTGGGAAACACTGGAGGATAACATCTAATAAATTAATCAAATTTTTTAAAGTAATATTTCACAATTGAAATCATTTTTAGCTCACCAAAATTGAAAGAGAAAAATCATAAAGTTATATTCGATCACAATATCAGTTCTGTTTCTATAATTTGAACATTAAGACAACTTCAATTGATGGTGTTTTCAATATAAATGTAAACAATGACAATCCTGATCTCTATACCTGCAATATATATACCTGCTATACCAGTGGCGTAAGCAGAATTTTTTTCATAATTTTCAGAAATTACTAAAAGAAATTCGAGTATGTAATAAAGCACTATTACTTCCCTAATTTAGACAGCTAGACAATTTTGACTTTTTATTTCGACAACATTGTTTAGTTAAATTTTGTTTTTATTTTTTAAGTTTACGAATATAATTTTTTTTATAATAAGAGGTAAAATATTTTATTTTTATTAAAAAGTAGGAATAAATCAAGCCAGAAAAAACTACTCGTACTGTAACAGCTACCTAAATAATAACCATATAAATGTGAATATTCCATAGAAAACCAATGAATTTAACTAAAAAATGACTTACCAACAAATAGGGAATTAAACCAGTATGCAAACACGCTAAAAATTTATTGATTTATACTGTAATATCTAAACGACGGGTTTTTTTTTGCAAGTTCGTTTAAAATGTCTTCGACAGCTGGGGTAAATTTTCTATGAATGCTTAAGAGCGTCAATCCATTCATTCTATTATTTCCCGTTGAGTTGCGTAAATAAGTCTTCAAACGGCGCAAAGTCGAAAAGGATCTTTCGTTTGCACTCGTTGAAACAGGTAGAACGACCAATATTTCTTAGGAGTTTGAAAATGTTTGGTGTTATATCTTTATTGCACATTCCAAGAGCATCCGCCGCAGTTTTTGGAACACTACCTCCGTCTTCACTAATCCTTTTTAATCTTTTATACCAGAGTTTTAGTTCAGACTTAAGGCTTTCTTTACAGGTATCCAAATCTCCAGCGTAAAATTCCACTAATGCTTCAAAAGCCTTTATGTTTGAAGGTTGGCAAATGAAAGGATCGGCAGGTAGAAGACACTGAAATCCTTTCAAAATATCACGATGCGATACAAATCTTAAGTTTAATTGTGTTATAAAATTTTCTATAAATGGAATAAAAACACTAACTCTGAAATATGTTTCCGGTGTCGATGAGGGAAAATTATCGCGATTTTTCTGTCTTCCTGTTATTCTAGGGATTTGCATGGAAGTGGAAGATCCAATGCTTGTTAGCATAAGAGAAGAAGAGCTGAATATTTCAGAGAATGTTTCAGTGGCATTTTCACGCATTAATTTTAGATCTTTAATGACATCTTCTGCAAGACTCACTGCCTCTATCAAATCTATGCTTGTTTTTTGTAGGTATCTACAGAGATGGATTGTTATGGTGAAAACTTTGTAAATGCACAAAAGAGATATTACGAACTGGCAATTAGATACTGTGCACAGTAAAGAATTAGCCTGGGTAGCTGATTCCTTATCCTTCCATTCTGATATTTTTTGTAGTGTTTCGGCGATAGGCTCGAAAAGTTCCACCACAGCGGTTACTGAGTCGTATCTTTCCATCCAACGGGTTGCACATAGCTGTTTAATTTTCTCCCTCTTAGAGCTGGTTTCCATCTCCTCTATTGCTGAAGATAGGACATACTGTCTTTTTGGCGTATTTAAAAAGTCGTATAATGTTTTAATTGTCCCTAAGCAATTTCTAATGCCAGTTATTTCGCATGCATTTGATACAGCCAAATTGAGGCTATGAGCAGAGCAATGTACATAGAGTGCTGATGGGACAATACTTCTTACGTGGGCTTGTACACCATTAATTTTTCCACTCATTGATGCAGCACCATCGTACCCCTGTCCACGTAACTTTTTTATATCAACTTTCATAGACTGTAATTGGTCTAATATTGTTGTTGCTATTGCTTTTCCGGTTAAGTCATGCACCGGAATGAATTGCAAAAACTGTTCGGTGATGTTAAAATTTTCTTTATCGACATATCGAACGCATAACGATAATTGCTCTATACCTGCAATATCAGTTGTTTCATCTGCAAGAATGGAAAAGCAAGTTGCATCATTAATCTTGCTGACTAGTTTTTGCAGGATTAAAATATTGCAAACCTCAATAACTTCGTTCTGAAATCGAGGGCTGGTATACTGAGCATTTTTTCTGCTTGACTCTAAAATGTTCTTAAGAGTCGAATCGTTCTTACTCCGGAAACGAAGCAATGCCCGAAAATTTCCGTCGTTCTCTTCACCTGGTTGTTCAGCAATTATTCCCGAATCCTTATGTCCTCTTAGAGCGAGACCTTGATTTCCACAAAATAGGATGGTTTCAATGATTGGAGTAATGTTTTTTCTATTTTCTAATTTTCTTCTGCTTGCTGCACTGTCAACTTGTTCATCCACAGGTTTCATCTTTCCAAATAAAATATCGTTTAATGTCCCAGCAGTTTCGATCGATTTTTTGTGATAAAGACATTTCTCGTGTTCAGAAAATCGCTCTACAGCATTTTTCCAGTTGTCAAATTTTACATTGCACAGTTGGCCTAAAGGTTGCTTTCCAGAACCGGCACCACTTGGGGCGAAAAGTACACAAAATTTGCAAAAAGCACCACCCTTAACCTCTGAATATGCAAGCCATTTCCAGCGATAAAGCCATTTGTACTGAAATTTCAATTTTCTTTTTCCTTTTTCAGGAAAAACAAATGCTGGATTGGGTTCCCAAACATTTTTAAGTATATCCAGTTTTTTATCCTCGCATGTATTATCTTCTGAAAAAAGTCCAATGTCATATGGGTGGGAAGTAACACTTTGAGGGCCGCTTTCACATTCATCAGATTCTGTTACGCTAGAAACGTTTTCTTCAACGGAAGTATCACATTTCTGTTCAACAGAAAAACTTACATTGGTACTAGATGCTGTCACCTCACTAATTTCAGGTCGTGATTTTTTCTCAAAGTAATTAAAAATTGTTAAATTCTTGCGTTTAGACATCCTAAAGATCCAAGAACAGCAAAAATATATACATATATATTGGCACAGAAATATCCACTAAGCTACGATCTCAAAGTTTCGAGCTGGAATGAATAACTTCAACGAGCACAGAGTCTCCAAAACAAAACAGATTTAGAAACAAGCTCCGAAGGACAAGCGGCAGAGATAACTCTTAGTCTGACTAAAATCGAAAATAAATGTAACCCCCTTTCATATAATTTTTTTTAACCGCATCTACAAAATTCTCGAATTGTCTCAAAGACGACAGAACGTCTAGGATTCCAGACCTCGCGAATGCCAGCCAGTCTCGAAAACTATCGCGACTGGCAGGTCAGAAAGGAACCAGTGATCGGGGCTCGCCCGTAACAGTATCACGTGAATTTGGTTTCAAAAATACAACCCTATTATAGTAAATGTTTTATCAGTATTCTGAGAAATACCGTGAGAAAAAAAAAGTAGGCATAAGGCAAATAAAAATATATAGTCTTAAAAAATAATAACCCGCATAATTTCTACTAAAATTTTTATTTTTGTCTGTATTATTTTGTAAAATCACTTTGTCTGAGCTCAAGGGGGGGGGGGTTGAGCCCCTAAACCCCCCCTTGCGTATGCCCCTGTGCTATACTCTTCCTGATCTCTATACCTGCTATACTCTTCCAGTTCGAAAGTTCGCAACTGCTTACTACAGCTTATTCTGCGAGGCGATATTTTCAAACTGACAATTTTGTTTTCAATAAAAGAAATAAATTAGATAATTTCTGATCTCAAATCTGCCGTATTTCATAAGATATTAATGTTATTATGTAGTTCGGGTGAGTTTGAAGTGAAAATTTGTTTTAGTTATTTAGTGATATATTGTTTAAAAAGGTGACATGGTTGCTAGATTTAGAATAACTCGCTTTTTTGTCAGTCTTGATTTGGCCCCTTTCCATTTGTTTATAACTGTTTGTTCGTGTTGCAAGCTGTGCACCATCTAACGTTAGTGTTAGCATATTGTTCGAGGAGTAAGATTAAGTTTAGTAATAAACATTCAAATACCATGTTTGCAAGAATCTTAAAAGACAATGATCACGTTGTGAGCCGAATGGCTTTAAAATACACCGGAAACAGTAACCCCGAAGCATAAGCGGCATACAACTTGCAGCGCTCCCTCGTGTCGAAAACACCATCCATAACGTTCTAACATTTTGAGGGAACCAAAGACAACATGACTAAAATCAGAGGATAAAAATAAAAGATTTATTTTCCGGAAAAAGGTACAGTCACAAAACTGAGTGGCTAACTTAAAATAAATTAAAATACAAAAGTGTATAACACACTGAGTAGTAGTAAATACGTCGTGATTTTACAGAGTTATATCGCTGGTTCAAAACTAAAATGACACATCTGCCACGTATTATGCTTGCAGATGTATCGTTTTAGTTTTGAATCAGAGATATATCCTAGGAAAAGTGTGCGATAACAAAAATGATATCTGTATTTTGCAGTCGGTTACAGTCAATTTCCGACAGCGACAGCAGAAAGAAAATCAGGATGTGCTCGATGACAGGTTGCAAGTTCGGTATTACCTTCAATCTAGGACTCCCCTACACTCTCTATATTAAAAATCATAATAGCATTAGGTATAGCATTACAAGGCTTAGTATTACATTTTTTTTTGATGCGCAAAAACTATAAAACTTAGTAACTTTAGATTACAAAGGAGAGTAGGGGAGTACAGGGAATACGGGGAATAAAAAAAAAATATAATATGCGATTATTGGTGCGAGAAGTTATTGGCTGTTAAATTTGAAATTTGGTATGTTGAAAGGGCCATATTTGTTTATAAACTTAACTCAGATATAAATTCTAATTTGACTGAAAGTAATTGCAATCTTAAGTGCTTTTATTTCGATTTTTTTTTTGTTTTCCCTTATAATTTTCTTAACTGCGCAAAAACTATAAGATTTAAAAGCTTGAAATTATGATGGGCTGTAGAAAAACACATGAAATATAAGGCAATAAAAAAAAGTTAACTTTCAACAATGAGTTCGATTCTTATTAACTGATCTATCTGCTTTGTTTATCTGTAGCAAGGCCGACTTTCTAGTCTGCCTTGATCTGTAGCCTGATGAAATGCAACTACGTAGTCAAAAATTGATGTACTGAAAATGCCATTTTCATTTGTGAACTTAACGCAAATTTCATTTTGAAATTCCAATTTGTTCGAATGTTATTGTAAGTTTAAGTAAGTCGTAGCAAAAGGGTGTTATCATGCCTTGTATTTTGTGAATTATGAGAGAATTTGTTGGTGTACAGTCAGAGAGAGCATGACCTTCTCCCCCCCCCCGCCAAAAAAAAAAGAAATCCTTCAACTATAACGTATAGGTTTTTCATTTTTTTAAGACTTTAAAAAATTTTCGACTTTCGTTTTTTAATATTTTTTTAAATTTCAAATTTAATTTTTTAATTAAATGTTTTTTTAAATTAGAAATGTAATTTTTTTTTCAATCTCTCAGATCGAATTGATTGACCACAAATATGCGAGTTAAAACATCATATTATTATTTATTCGCAAATGAATCAGTCGTCATGACTAACAAGGTAATAAAACAATATATATTTTTCATTATATTGAGATGCTTTTCCCAGCTAGAGATGCTAAGTTTCATTTTCATTTTTCTGAGTTTCTCGCCAGAGGTGCAATGTTTAGCATTGAATCAGTTTGAAAAGAGGAAGATTACCTATGCAAGATGAACCAGTTAGGGAACACCATATAATTTCTACCAATCAGAAATAAATTTACCACGCAATCTATTCTGGATCTTTAATATATATTAAATAGACAAAATGAAAAGATAATAATCTCAAAGATAATAATCAAATAAAGATAATAATCACAATAGAGAGACAAAAAAGAATAAAGAACAAGAGAATAATGAAGAAAAATATTAATAAGTTTTATTTACTGCGCATAAGCTGCAAGTACATAGAACCCCTAAAAGAAGTTAAAAATACAAATAAAACAAGAAAAGCAGTATATATATATAAGTTTTAAAGAAAAGAAGAAAAATTATTAATAAATAAAATAATTTTTTAAAAAATTATTTGAAAAAAAAAAAAAAAAAAACTGGAAAAGAAAATGAGGAAAAGGTATAATCTCGTCAACAGCTCACACAATTATATGAGCAAAAAAAGTGCTTTCTAATATTGTATTAATACAGCTAAAGTAAAATATATAAATACAATGGGGTGAGGAGCACCAAGCAAATTTAATAGAAAAAGAGCATATTAAGCTAAAAATACAAAATAAAACATATCAAGCAAAAATAGAAAATTAAAAATTCAAGAAAAATTACGAATGAAACACAAAATTTAACGACATTTTTAAGAAATGATTTAAAATATTTTTGTAATAAGTTCGCAACATTACAAAATATAAAAATAGAAGCTTAAATAGAGGATAGCGGGATGCAGTTTATGGCGCGTTCTTGCTGAAGTACAGAAGTGCATTTGATTTGTTAGCTACCTTGGATAGATCCGAAACTGGATGTGCGCATGTGAACTTATTAAACAAGGTTAATTTAGATATATACATGTATATAAACATACGTATATATGTATCTTTTTAATTTGAAAGAAATTACCGGTATGAAACGAAAAGCTGATGAAGGATGAAGTTCTTCTATTTAATTTGATGAATTGTATTTAGCGCTTAATATTTCATAACCTTTTATTTCATTTTAAGTGTCTCCAAGATACTTTTGTCGAAAGTAGCAGTCCATCAGCTGTTTTCATTACAAAAAGATAGCTTCATTTTCAGGTCTATTTACAATGATTGAGTTTTGGTTTAACTCGACACGAAAAAAAAATATCGAAGGAAAGAATTACTCCTCTGCTGCAAGTTAAGAAAAAAGCATTGCTGTATAGGATTTATGTAATAATCCGCGACTGCATATAGTTCCGTTTTATTTAGCTATTAAATTATATAATTATGCTTTCAAAAAATTATAAAAGCTCTTTAAAGTTAAATTCGTCGGACAGAAATTTAATCCGTGCTGTTTTTTACAGGCAAATGGAAGGCCGCGCGCCGTCGTTTCAAGAGTTAGCGATGTTGATATTTGTACGTGTTTGGAGCTTGGCATGCATTAAGCGAGCACTTGATGTAAACAGGCTCTCTTCAACGGGATAATCTTAATAGTTTCTGAGAGAATAATCTACTGAATAGAAGAAACAGCACCAATTCCACGAATACTTCATAGCATGGGCGTTGAAATGGGGGGGGGGGAGTCCAAGGGATCCTGACCCCCTCAATAGTTAGGAAGTCTGAACGCAAAATTTAAAAAAAAAATAATAATATTTCTGCTTTATTTTCAATAAAAAAAAAGTTAATATTTACATCAGCAATGTAAATTTAGTGGTCCAATACGACACCTAGATAT